AACCATGAAAAAGTGGAAAAATCCTTACAGTGATTTCTAAAGAAACAGGCAGACATCATGCCCTACAGGTCTTCACTAATGGACACTTTCACTTTCAATTGACGAAGTGAACGCATGTCCAATGTTACAATGAAAATAAATGCACAATAAAAACAATATTTACAGCATGGATACAAAGAATGCAACATAAATTGGTTCACTGTAAAAAAAAAAAAATGTTTTATTTGGTAACCTTAAAAATGTACTTCATGCAGATACTAAATAGACCATCTATTGTACACCTTAGACACATTTTCAATTTTCAGTATTTCATTCAATGTTACTGCATAAATCAGACCTAATTAGGACAATCAAAACACATTTCCCTTTGGTATGTGGCCTTGAGGCAAAACTGTGCAGCAATGGAAAGAAATTAATTAACATTTAATGATTTCCAAGCTACAGCAAGGTGAATGTTTCACTTAAATCTTACTATATTACTAAATACATACTACTTGCTATATTTTACTAAATAATTAATTAGTAATAAAACACTAAAACGATAGATACCCTTACCAAAAAGAAGTATACTTCAAATTTATTTTAGGTATACTTAAGTAAATTTCAAGTATATTTTTAAGTATACTTTATGTAGAAACAACAACATATTTACACAAAAAGTAAGCTATCATACATCTCAATATTTTTAGCTACTTGAAACGGCCAAAAGTGTTCCTGCGATTCTCCCTCCCACGACAGTCTGACGGCTCTGACAGATCCACTCTCTGACTTTGAAATATCTCGGAATATTGACTTGATTTTCACAGATTGTCCAAACAACACTCCCACTTCATGAACCCATTGTAAAGGGTCACGAATAAACAGGAGATGCTGTGCAAGCATGCTGTGTAATTAAATTTACACAGTGCGAACCACAGTGGACATATAATGCAAGTGGCTGACTCTCTTTGATGATGGCCTGTGCCCCTGAATATTTCCCTGCCATGTTTGCTGCACCATCATGAGCCTGACCTCTCAGCCCAGTGATGGATAAATTAAGACGAAGCAATACAACCTGCTGTTGTTCCCAACCCTTAAAACCTGCCAGCTTCTCTCCTGTTGTCACAGACACTTCATACATGCCTATAAATTCCTCACGGACTACTAGATCAAGATAAACCAACCTTATACCGGTCGATTCCTGTTCTTTCCCTGATACATCTTGGGTACCATTCATGATGACAGAAAACTGCAAGTTTGGAAGTGAAATTATGCTTTGTGCAATTTCACAAATTATAGAATTACTGGAGGATTTCATTTTGAATTTTTGAATTTTGAACATCCGATCACACACACACACACACACACACACACAATAGTGAGTGAGTGATATGAAACAGCTGTGTGCAATCAGTGCTGTGTGCAATCAGTGCAATGAATGATGGGATATGTAGTCCGGGGTGATATGCAACAGTGTGTCGTGCGAGAGTCAATGAAAATGGAAAGGGTGACCTCTGATGGCTAGCAGACGGAAGTTCATGGACCGGATACGTAACATAAGTATTGGTCAGCATTTATCATTATTATTGTGTGTAAGTGTTGGGGTGGGCTAGCAATGCAGTTCATTCTGGGGTAATCTTAATTTTTAAGTAGTAATACTTATATTTTTGGACTATAAAGTCTTCTCCAAAGGTGAGACCTTCGAGCAGCTGCCCGACGTCTCCTTTGTGCAGACACTGCAAACATCGCAAAGGCTGTGGAAAAACGTACTAGGTATTGTTTAGTTAGTAATGTTATGAGGTGTTAGTGCACCTGTTGCTTTTTTTTTTGAAAAATGACAAGGTTAAATATCTTTGAATAATTCATCATAATTCATTATTATTATTTTTATTATTATTATTTTATAAGCATGAGGGATGAAACTACAGTTAAATTCAACAAGAAAAAAGGAAAACACAAAGGAGATTTAAGGCACTTTTGCTTGTGGATGAAAAATTCTGCACATAAAATGAAACATTTTCAAAAGATGACGATTTTGGGTTTATTTGGATATATAAAAAAATACCTTTAAGGATAAAACTGTGGGTCACATTAGTAGGATTAAAAATATAAGAACTTAAATCAACTCAAAATGTATTGGTTATACTACAACCACAAAATAAATGGGCAGCTGTTTCATCAACAAGACCACAAAATGAGCAAGTTTCATAAATATCAAGATGTTTAGATACATGAATTAAACCTGTCGCTCATATCTTTTAAGTTGATGCGCTTGTTATTACGTCGTAAGTCACATGATAACGTCAACATTGACGTTATCATGATGCCCGAATATCATTCATACTTAACACATTCAGGCTATAGAGTAGGGTAGAGTGGGGGGAAACGCCCCCCTTAAGGACTGTGTAATTTTTTTCTGTGAATCAAAAGTTAAATGTGTCCAGAATAGTTATCATAGTTTTAGTGATAATGACGTAAATTATAAACCATGTATGAAAAATGTCCAGAGTTTTCATGTTATTAGATTTATAACAAAAATTTAATTCGTACTAAGTGGGCGTTTTACCTCACAGGTGGGGTAAAACGCCCCCTGTCCAACAAAGCAATTTGCTTTATAAATTTACAGCAAAATCAGAGTACAGACAGTTTTAGCTTAAAATTAAAAATCAATAATTATGAATCACAAAATTATAATAGCCTATTTGAAAAATATTGTTAGCTGATGCTAAATGGCTAACTAACTAGCTACCTTGCTAAATTGAGGTAATTTTTGAATATAAAGTCAAAATATTTTTATTCAACCAACTAGTTAGAATACATTTGATGGAAAAACAAAGGATTTGAAGTTAAAAACCCGGCCAGAACGGGGCTACTAGCAACAGACAGACCCCGTCCCGGCGTACTCTCTCCAGAACTCCCGGGAGCAGAACGATCGGGGGAAAAACATAACAAACGTTAAAAACGTCTCCAGGTTACGTATGTAACCATGGTTACCCGAGGGAACGAGATGCTGCGTCGAGAAACGTTTTGGGAATGCCCCTGCGTGACCACGTTCTGAAGCACGTGTAAAATCAGTCCAATGGAGCAGCGAGACGTGAGCAACCAGGAAGCGGATGTAGACTGCTCTTAGTAAGAGGAGCTTCCCCTGAGCCCACAGAAGGATCTGCCTTGCCAGCTTGTACAAGGGGCGCGAACGCAGACCCCCCTGCCGATTGATGTAGGAGACCACCGATGTGTTGTCTGTGCGGACAAGCACATGATGTCCCCTTAGGTCTGGAAGGAAGTGTCTCAGAGCTCGAAACGCGGCCAGCATCTCCAGGCAGTTGCAGGTTGTAAAAGCGGACAAAAGTGTGCGGAGAGGACCAGCCTGCCGCAGCACAAATGTCCTGCAAGGCCACACCCAAGCTGAAAGCCTTGGAGGCCGCCATACTCCTGGTCGAGTGCGCTCTGACCCCCATAGGTGACGGGAGGCCAGAGGACTCGTAGGCTAGTGAGATGGCCTCGACCACCCACCTACTCATAGTCTGCTTGGTCGCCGGAGATCCTTTCTTTGGCGGACCAAAGCAAACAAACAGCTGATCTGCCTTACGCCACGGGGCAGCTCTGTGTGCGTAAGCGTCCAGTGCTCGAACTGGACAGAGCAGATTAAGCCTTTCTTGGCCTACTTCCTGGAATGGAGGAGGACATAATGCCTGAAGTACTATGGGCCCTGGTGAAGAAGTGGGCACCTTAGGGACATACCTGAACCTCGGGTAAAGAAATGCCCTAACCATGCCTGAAGCAAATTCCAGGCACGAAACAGAAAGTGCCTGAAGATCCCCGATCCTTTTAAGTGAGAAAATAGCGAGAAGAAAAATAGTCTTGAGCGTGAGAAACTTGACTGGAACTTCTTCTGTGGGTTCAAAGGGGGCATTGCATAAGCCCTCTAGAACCACAGCCAGATCCCATAAGGGCACCTTAGTGGAAACGAGTGACAAGTGGGTGTCTTCCCAATGATTAACCACCCAGAAGGGCGTGGTAAGCAGCTAAGGCCGCCACGTATACCTTCAGAGTGGAGGGAGATAACCCTGCGGAGAATCGCTCCTGCAGAAACTCCAGAACTGTACCAATTGGGCAGTTGACTGGGTCCTGCAGTCGCTGTCCGCACCATGAAGCGAAAAGTTTCCACTAGCAGAACGATCGGGGGAAAAACGTACAGATGAAGCCTCGGCCACGTCTGCACCATGGCATCCAGCCTCAGTGGAGCTGGATGCGTGAGGGAGAACCAGAGCGGACAGTGTGTCGTTTCTTGCGACGCAAATAGATCCACTTCTGCCTGGTCAAACTCCCTCCAAAGGAGCTCTACCACCTCGGGGTGGAGTCTCCATCCCCCGGGCCTCAGCCCCTGCCTCAACAGGATATCTGCCCCCTGATTTAAATACCCAGGGATGTAAACTGCTCTTAGAGAGAGGAGCTTCCCCTGAGCCCGGCGTTCCCAAAGCATTTCTCGACGCAGCTCGAGTTTCTGAAGGGAAACTACAGTAATTAAGCCATGCCGCCTGGGTGCGTTTTACCCCACAGACTAGGTTTGACAAAAAAAATTTTCATTCTGAAAATATAATTATATATTTTTTAAATAACACATACTCCCTATACTCCCTTACTATTCTCATATATAACTGTGATGTTCTACAGAACAACAAGTTTTAAAATACTTTTTTTTCCTTTCTGCTGAAAATTAGATCACTTACTGTGAAATCCGTTTTATGAACACACTAGTTTGTTTTGCAAACTGTATACAGCACTTTGTTATTCTTCTCATTATTTCCCTACAGCATCTAATGAACCGGAAGTCTCGCACATTCACAGAAAGCGGTTTACGTCCGTGTTGAAAAATAAGGTGGACAGCATAAAATTAGTTAGGTAACTTTATGACCTGCACAGGTCTATGATTGCATGTGCCTGCTGCACATCTAATTACATGTCATGAATGAATAATCTTTTGAAATGACAACTTGCAGTCCATTAATTACCACCCCATCAATAATTTATCAACTTCCACATGAATAAATAATTCCATCCACACTCATGATCCACAACAGGTGATGAGCATCAGTGGATGGCATTGATTTTTTTATTCTGGAAAACTACTTTTTTAGCCTGACCAGCCCATAAGCAAGAGAACGATCTCAATGCCTACTATAGATCCTGAGAACATATTCTTAATTTAAATGCATCTCTGGCTGCTTCACTCTTATGCCCTCTGGCTCTGAATGCGATCATGTAAAATGAGGGTGGCAATCATGTCATATGACACTCAATGCATCTTTATCGATTACATGTCACAAACTGAGTCTGTAAAAGAATGAAAATGAATTTAACCTGTGCCTCCTCATTTCTGACGAATGTGAATGAACATTTTCATGAATAATTCTTCTGCGGCTTGGAAGGACACCAACACTAGGAGGCAAAGGGTGCCAGTGGCAAATCTCATGGGACGCTCTTGCTGATTTTTACAAGTGCACCTGTCTTTCTTCCCTTCTTCGATTCATGAGCACAATACCCAGGAGAAGCACTGAGTTTCTTATTGGATCACGATAGCTCCACTGCAAGCCATTTCCTGTCAATTGTCTTGGAGATTTACAGACGCCCATTCCCACCAGAACAACAAACAACACACTGAAGTGCTTTGCCATACTGACTGCTAGAATCTGGAGGATTTAGTTGTAGAAGTAACCTCGGTTTTTATGTGTGGCGGAGTTTCCCTTTCAGGTCTGGAGAAGACAGATGACAGTCTCACCATCTTGAAACAGACGGGTGCATAACAATAGCACTCCATTAGAAAATGGGGCCGTGGAGATGGAGGAGATCTATAAATTAAACAGACAGAAAGAACACGCATGCAAGGAATACTTTCAGAAATGATTAAATCAGATGTGAGAACATTAAAGGGGTCATATGATGCTATTTTCAAAGCTCATTATTTAGTGTATCGGGTGTAATAGAATATGTTAGCATGCTTTAATGTTCAAAACATGCATTATTTTTCATGTACTGTGCAGATCCTCTATGCACAGTCTTTCTAAAATGCATCGATTTCTAGAAAGTCCCTCCTTCGAAAAGCACTGTGTGCTCTGATTGGCCAGCTGACCCAGTGTGTTGTGATTGGCCAAACATCTCAAGCATGTGTCGGAAATGTAAGGCCCCTTACCATAATCGTGAGCTTTAGCTTCCAAAGCAATTATAAGAATAGTTAATAATGTCGTCAGCTTTTACAACGGGCGCGTCCTGCTTCAGCTTTACTTGAGCGTCCAGTGTGAAGCAGAACACGTACTGAATCATGTTTGTCGTCTTTTTGCTGCCAGTTATAAGCCGAGAACAGAGGATACTACGTTTGTAAACATAAATCCATCTCTATCTGCACTTGTAATCATAAGGACTCCTAATTGCACTCTAAAAAATGCTGGGTTAAAAAGGGCTGGGTTATATTTAACCCAGCATTTTTTAGAGTGTGCGTACACTTTCGGAAGGCCAAAAAAAGTGCTTTTTCTTTCACATAGGAATACAAAGCGTCTTCACAGCATGGTGGCAACAAAACTACTGCGATACCTGAAACCACGCCTCTTTCTTTGCGTATCTATTTGGGTGGTATAAAAGTCCCTTTAAAGGGGTCAAATGATGCGATTTCAAGTTTTCCTTTCTCTTAGGAGTGTTACAAGCTGTTCGTGAATAGATAAGATCCCTAAAGTTGCAAAGACTAAAGTCTCAAACCCAAAGAGATATTCTTTATAAAAGTTAAGACTCTGCCACGCCCCCCTAAAACGCCTCGTTTAAACAC